TCAAGGACACCTTCCCTTGAGTTTTGAATGTTCAGGGGATCGTGATCTATGTTGCTTATAGCCCGCAAATAGCAGGCCCGGGACTGCTTCAGGTCACCCCTGACCGTGATGCTTTCTATATCTCCAGGAAACTTGACAGCGACGTAGTAAGTAGAGACTACCGCTCTGAAATTGTTCAGCAACGGTTGGTCGAATATAGTGTTATAATTCGGGGGCAAATTCACAACGAGCAAATCTTCTGTGAGCGTAAATTATTTTTCGTTTTCTCCACAACTTATCGGGAGCCCGACCACTCCTAGTGCTTCCTTCTTTTCGCCCGAGAATCAATACAACAAACCGGACGGTGTGATCATTCGATCGACAATGAGTTATAACTTGTCGAATACCTGTTTGAATAGCACATTCACAGAACCCCCTGTATCAATGAGGATGCTCCCTACTAGGTAAATGTTTATTATCATCGTTATTACAATGGTGTCGTTATATGACTTTCCCTTTTGAGGAAGATTTTCGTCGGTAAAAACAGAAAGGCAGATGGCCTTTGAGCTACGGGGCTAATGCGACGATGCAAAGTTCCCCTGTTTGTTGCCTCTTCCGGCTTGTCCTCCAAGGTGGGTCGCTTCCTCCGAAGATTGTGGGCACGTACCCCGCTATGAGAATGATGGGCCCATCGCTTGCTCCTCCCATAGGAGCCTTTCCTTGCCTTTAGGTTGCGGATCCAGGGATGATGGATTCTTTTAACTTCCCTCCTTTATCAGTTCCTAGTTTAGGCTTCGCAAGTGTTTGCATTCCTCCGTGTCGTGTCTGTGATCTTTGTGGTACTTACAGCATTTACTATCTCAAAGGAAGCTCTGGCCCTCATTGACGTTGCTTTCTTGAAGAAGCCTTTGTCTTGGATGGTGTCCACTATCTCTGCCATGGATACCCTGAGCGAGGTTTAACGAGAGATCTTGTGATTATATCGGGTCTGCAACGTCTTGGTTTGTCGCCTCTGGTCCTCCTGGCATTGGGTGGAGTAATTGTCAGGGTGATCCTCGTAGTGGGGGCGGTTTGACAGTGGTGCATTTTTCCTGGGTTGTCATTTGTTGTCTTGTGGTGGCGGTCTTTTCTGGTCTCTGTTCGGTTGGCTCAAGAGCGTTCTCATAGGCGATGATGTACTTGTTGGTCATCTCCAACAGCTCGGTCAAGCTTTGTGGTTCTACGAGTTCGAGGTCAAAACGATACCTCTCCGACTTACTCCTTGAGTCAGTGTGGCCCGAGCCATGTCCAGCTTCAAGTCCTTAACATTTAATCTTCTACTCTGGAAACGCGCAATAAACGATCGTAAGCTCTCGTTGCCCCCCTGCTTCAGCTGCCATAGGAATCACGCGCTCTTCTTAAGCCTTAGAGCACTGACAAACTACGATAAAAAAAAGTTTTCTAAACTCCGCAAAACAGGTGATTACTGTCGTGCGCAAACCGTCGAACCACCTTAATACGGTCAATCTCAGCATCATGAAGAAGAGCTTGCACTTAAAGGCATCAAAAATTCTTAACAGGCATATGTACAATTCAAACGACGCGAGATGGTAGGATCCTATCATCCTTTATAATTTTCTCAAACCAGCATCTTGAACTTCTCTGGAGGTTCAACTCTGGAAACCTATATGGAGAAAGCATTCTCCGGCTATCTTTATACCTCAGTTCGCATTGGTCGATTCCTCTCCTTCACAGGGGCAGTTACGACGTTGTCTTGATAAAGATCATCGTCAGGCTCCTCCTGCAAGAGGATCCTCCTTCCATTGTTGGTTGGCGGTTCCCCTTAAGGGGGGTTGAGTGCTCCTTGTAGTGCTGACTCTCCTCCTGGAACTGTGGTAGCTGCAAGGGCAGCGACCGCCCTAAGGACTACCACGAACTTTCTTGACATCTAGTTGGTAATATGAGTTCTCAAATCTTGCAGGCTTTATTGCACAGATTCTTCCATAAACTCTGGGTGCAGGTTGTTTCTCATTCATTCTTATGACTAGACTCTCAATATTGTTATTGTTAGATTCTTCTTGTTGACAACATGTTTCCACGTTCACCGCACCTAAGAGAATATTGGATCCAAAGATATACGGGAAACACACTCAAGGAATCGAATGTGCTATTAGGAAGTAATTAAGAGGGAGAGAGAGAGCAGTAGTAGACAGATCAAAAGTATTTTTATTCATAATATGGACCCCTATTTATAGCCCTAGGTCTCAATACTACGAGAGTACATATTAGCCCCGTCATTATTGACTTTTCAAGGAAAAATTTTTTGGCAATTACAAAATTATTTGTATACTAGTTGACAATCTGAGTTCTCAAATCTTACAGGTCTTATTACACAGATTCTTCCATAAACTTCGAGTGCATGTTATTTTTCATTTGTTCCTATGACTAGACTCTCCATATTGTTATTATTAGACTATTCTTCTTGTTGACGACATGTTTCCACGTTCATCACACCTAAAAGAAAATTGGATCCAAAGCAATAAGGGAAACACACTTAAGGAATCGAATGTGTTATTAGGAAGTAATTAAGAGGAAGAGAGAGAGCGATAGTAGACAGATCAAAAGTATTTTTTATTCATAATATGGACCCATATTTATTGGTTTAGGTCTCAATACTACAAGAGTACATATTAGCCCCCTCATTATTAACTTTTTAAGGAAAAAATTTTTTTGGCAATTACAAAATTATTTGTATATTATAAAACTGGGGACCGATTCGATCGACGATGTCCAACAAGCCTTGATTCGATCGATATAAAGTTAGAAAGAGTGCTTCCTGTCGATCGTTCTGATAACTTATTACTGCCCTACAGGATTTTCTCTTGGCATCTTCTTTGTAGATCATTCGGATAAAGTGCTTCCTTCGCCAATACTAATCTGGAAATGATCGTCGTCTGCATCTATGCTCGATCGTCCGTATCTTCTTTATGAGTAGCCCATCTGCTTTGAGATTCATATTAACACATTTTTATGTGTACAGAAACCATGTTTTAGATGTATAATACACAGACATTATGTCTATAAATACGTTAACTATGTTTTCTAACGTTAAAATTTATTGAATTGTGATAAAATGTTTTTTTTTCATTTTGCATCATACAATCTATATGTAGTATGAATGTTGTGTTTGAACTGTGCATGTGTCTTACATTTTTTCAATAATTTATATCTCATGCCCCTTATTTATGTCATGTTTTGTCCCCCATGTCTTCTTCCATAAAAGATACAAGATATTACTTGACTTTTTAGATGTAAAAGAGTACAAAAATACATCATAGCTAAGATGTGACTTGTTCCAAGGAAAAAGGTTACAGGACATAATAAGGTTGGAAGCTTTAATATGAAGAGACAAAAATTAACGCCATAAAATTTGCAACAACCCAAGCGTCAGTCAAAAGTCATAGTAAGGTTTAGCATGATTTACACTTAAATATCGCTTTATGATGCACCGTAGTGTGACACTATGCATCTTACACCATGAAAATAGATGATGAATGAAGATCACTATCATGATCAATAAATCATAGACTTTCGATTTCTCTTACATTTTTCTTCATTATTTTCTCTAATTTTTTCATTCTCTCTTTAAAGGACTCTTGCTTCACCTTGTTTCATAAGTTGGTGGATGTCACATGCTCATCCTAAAACTTCTCCATATCTCTTCCTACGAGCTTTTCTTTACCTTTTCATTGTAAACCAGAGGATCAAAGGTGATTTCATTGAATTTCAAGATTCTCTAGCAATAAAATTGTCATCAAACAACAAATGATTACTGGATTTCTACTCTGTTTACCATCTCATGCAAAATCCCACACAGTGGCTACGATTGCATGTTCTTAAAGGTATTATGCAACCATGTTGAGACCTTTTATTTATCCAATAACTAGATCTTATCAAAACTTGGGAGATGGGATCGAAAATTTTGTTAGTATCAATACAATTGGTACGGTTCAGCCTTTAAGAACAATATCATTGGCCATAATTTCAGCCTCTTGTGAATCTAGGTAGATTATTTTGAAGGTCCAAGATTCATTAGACTATTGTCTTCCTTTGACAAGAGCTCAAAGATTCATTGGTGTGAGGCATTGCTACAAATTTCCCCCAAATCAAATAACAAAAAAAACCTTTGATTTTCCACCTTTTACAGCCAACATTGCTTCCCTCTTCTAAATATATCAAGTTTCAATAAGCCTTATTAAGCTTCTGCCAAAAAAGTTCATCTGATCAAAGTTAGGCATTGTTTTAATCAATCAAATCAAATAAAGGCTATGAAATTGTTCAAGAAAAAGCATTAACAGGGAAAGAATTGGTTTGATTCTTGACCTGCAATTTTGAGTATACCAAATGAATCCCATCATAAGACTTCAACTGACTTATAAATAAAAAATCTTAAAACAGACTTCCTCTAAGACACCTAGTTTTTCCCGGAGTCTTCTATCATAAATCCTAAAAATATTATCTGGTAACTTCTTGAATTAAGTATCGTGATCAATTTTGAAGACACTAAAAATGATACCAAAAACAACTCATTCAATCCTATAAAAACTGGCAAGAATTTCGGCATTCATATGACCAAAAATAAATTACTGATCGTACCAACATTCAGAAACTGAGTAAAAATTAAGCTATGGTTCAGTAAAACAAGACCCTAACACAAAACAGAACCTTCATCCTACTTCCTGAATAAAATTTCTTATAACACAGCAAGACGAGAAAGACAACAACAGAGATACTGGCCACTCTACAGTCATCATCATACTTGCATTCATCCTAATCTCGCAGTTCACTAGAAAACGAATAAAAATAAAACCGAATCGCATCTCTAAATAAACATTCATTCATCGCCAATCGCCTTTAGCTACAAGCAAATATAAGAAACAGAAACCTTACTAAAAAGAAAGCACGGATTGGAATGTTTAACACCATAACCGATCGGTAAAGAGCAAAATCAAAGCAAAGGAGGATGGAAGATGGGAGCATACTGAAGGTTGAGCAGACGGATCGGAAGGACGGATCTGGCTGAAATTATGAGGATCATAAGAGGGCCAATCTCCCATGAGAGATCCCATCAATAAGAACGAATGGACCGTCAGCCTCGATCACTACGCCTCTCTTCCACTTAGCATAGTAACGGGAGGAGATGTGGAAAGAGAAGTGGCTTCGCCTTTGAGACCGAGAGAAAATACGGCGAACGGTATGGCAAACAGTAAAGCTTTGGGAAGTTGGGAATTTACAGGTGGAGGTGTGGCTCTTCTGGCTTGTCGCATAGATTATTTGTTTGAATCCTCCATATGTTGAGGGTGTGAAATATAATTATATTATTTTAAAAGGTTACACGCATGATTCATTTTGAATGGTTTAGATTGACTCTATTATTTTTAAAAAAGAAGATTTACATGTATACCACACATTTCCTTTGTATTTACATATTTAATTGAGCTTTAGATTTGCAATCATATCATTTTTATTAAGTGTTGAATATGAAATTGTCTAAGAGTCACGCGCCTAAGGAATAGAACGCTGAGAGATGGGAGAGAGAGAGAAAAGAAAAATCACGATAATAAACATCAAATTTGTATAATATTTATTCATAAAATAGAGCATTTATTTATAAGAATAGGGCATCGACAATTACACATTGTATCCTTAAAGTATGTTGGTACAATGAAGGTATTTCAATCATTACATGAATATGACCCGCGAGGCCAATGGATGTGGTCTGTCGTTCCTCATAACATGCATTCATGAGTCCCAATGAGGCTGACAACCCTCACACCGGGCAACCATTAGGTCAGTTGTCCCTCGGGTTGGACAGCTATGAGACCGGGAGGTCGTTAGTCCTACAGCCATCAAGTTGGTCTGTTTTGAGGCCGGGCAACTACTTGTTGGATCCACGTCAATCGGTCTGAAACTAATGATTTCGTTTTACTTTCCCTGTCTATCTGGGTAGGAATGCGACATGTTCATCCGAGTGGATCTGGTCTGATATATTCTTCAGGGATTTTATACTCTTTATCCTTCGGAGGTGCACCGTCTTCCTGGTACGCGTGGGCATATCGCTAATGTTCATCCGAGTGGATCTGGTCTGATATATTCTTCAGAGATTTTATACTATTTATCCTTCGGAGGTGCACTGTCTTCCTGGTACGCGTGGGCATATTGCTAATCATTTAGTCTTGAGTCGTTCTTGGTAGGTCCAACCACTTCTTCCACCACCCACAAGATATATTTACAATTTGTGATGACACGTTTTAGACTTACAATACCAAATATCCGCCGGCCAACATCAAATAACAGCCAAAGTGAAATATCATTTGCCACCAACCAAATACTTCATACTCATTGGCCTAAAATACAAGATGCATACAACCAAGTAATGTTGAGAGATAATAATAATTAATTAATATTACCTAGTAATTGTAAACACTTGATTCGATTAATATAACCACCTTTCAATGTCTTCAACCATTGTCTTAAAAGATATTCTATAAAACTAAAACATTTTGTATTATACCCCAACCTCAAGTAATTTGGAATGATTTATAACTTCTATACATATGTCAAGTCAGTCAGTTCCTATATATAAAAAAAAATTAAGATGTAAATTATGATCTCTTTAGTCATGTTTAGCTCCCATCAAGTAGGGAAATCTATTATTTTTTAAACTATAATTTTATATCTACAAAGTAAGCACAAGAGCTATACTAGCTTCAAGGTTTTGTTTTGGGCCTATTAGCCCATACAAATGGTGGGCGGGCTAGCCAAATATTTGAGAATTTTAATTAAAAAGTGATTTGCAAGCATCCTCTAGATCTCACAAATCCTTAAGCCACTATTTACGCTTACATTGAAAGTTTTAATCAGATAATAACAAATCTAAATACTAACAAAAGACCGAAAAAAATTTTATGTCCGACCGTCAGCGGTCACGTCGCCCACTGTTGATGTGTATGGGCCTCCAATGTGTTAGAAATGGTGGAACCCGGTTCACTATGCTTGGGCGGTTACTTTGCTTTGAAAGAGTCGCACATTTCCACAAATAATCATTTCTGTCTTCCTCTTTTGTGAAGTAAAGCATCTCTTCGTTCCTTCATGTTCGTGATAAAAGCTTCGGATGACTCTCCTTGAGTATTGTAGTCACGCTTTGAGTTATTCTTCGATTTTCTCTGGATAGAGGAAGGTTTCCTCGGGGCAGAAGAAGATAAGTGCAAGGAGGAGCAGTTCCTTGCGGTAGAAGGAAGAAGAAGGGAGAAGAAAGGAAGAAGGAAGGAAGAAGAAGATTGTTCTCTCTAGACTTCTTCTTTGTGGCAGAAAATAAATTGAGGTTATTTCTCTCGTAAGTTTCTCTTCTTTGTGCCTCAAGTTCTCTCTTAAGCATCCTCCCCTTTCATGTGAGGGGTGAGGCTCTATTTATAGTGTTTTGAATGCAATTAATGCATGAGTATGAACCATTTTGATCGGACGGCCCGGAGAGCTTCCCTTGATCAGATGACATTTGATGGACATTTGAGTGCCTTAACGATGTCGAAATTGAGCAATCTTGGGCTCGTTAGATTTGTCTTTTTGAGACGCTTAATTTGACTATAAACTCACTAGATTCAACATCTATTTGACCTTTCAAATGCCTTCGGAAATTCTGTAATGGTGGTTTAATGACTTGATCCGAGCCTGATTTGACTCGGATTGGACTAACTTTTATATCATTAAGTCCGTCTCATCGAGCCGATCAATTTAAAATTGGAGCTCCGGATGACTCTTAATCGGAGTTTGAATGTTTCTTGTTCAAAAAATTGCACAGAGATTCGTGCTGGTTGATGGAAATTTGTTGGTGGCGTGTCAATTGCCCCTCTATTTTCGGGCGAAATCATTTTTTTTTTGTCCGAAAATATCAAGAATCATATATATATATACATACATACATATATATATATACATACATACATATATATATATACATACATACATACATATATATATATATACATACATACATATTATTCTGTACGCAATGTTTTCAATGCTTGGTAATTTTCAAATGCTCCCGTAAGCTTTTATTTGCTCTGGCATTTTCTGATTTGCTAATAATGCTTACATAACCTTTTATATGATTTGGTAATCTGGAAAGGACTTAGCATCTAAAGTGTCGGGAATTCGAACTAGGGGGAGTCGAAGCGGGATCGCCGGCTGAAGGGAGTTAAGCTTTTATTTGTCAATCCGCAAAGGAGCATATAAAGCGACGATAATCTGAGTCGAAGCTAGATTGCCAGGTTGCTGAAGGGAGTTAAGCTTTTATTTGATAATCCTCAAAGGAGTCAAGCAGATAAACCAACGGGAATCCGAACAGGGAGAAGTTGAATGGTTATTTTAATTATTTTAAAAATTAGTATTAAATAACTTAAATTATTTTTCACCCTATAAATAGGGGTTGGAAGGAGAGGGTAGAGGTGGAGTCCTCAGCTGATCCAGGACTTCCCAGAAGAAGAAAATCATCATGTGCAGCAGTGAGAAGTTACGACGAAGAATTACAGTGAAGAGTTGCGTTACAGAATTGCGGTGAAGAGTTGCGGCAAAGCGTTGCGATGAAGAGTTGTGTCAAAGCGTTGTGGCAAAGTGGAGTTGCGGCGAAGCGTTGCAATGAAGAGTTGCAGCGAACCGTTGCGGCAAAATGTTGCGGCGAACCGTTGCGGTGAAGAAGAAAGTTGTCCTAGTCCTGCAGTACTCATCCCTGCCTAGAAGGTGATTCGGGATTTTCCAAAAAGAAGAAAGTCGTCCCCATCCTGCGTAGCAGGCAAGCAACGGAAGTTGCGGCGAAGAGGAAAGTCGTCACCGTCCTGCGTAACAGGCAAGCAACGGGATCTTCTTTCTCGTTGCAGTGACACGACGCGTTGCAGGGAAGAATTGCAGCAACGTGACGCGTAATGGTGGTATGTCGCGGCAATGTGTTGCGATTTGATGACTCGTTACGGCGGTGCGTCATGAAAACACATTGGACGAAGTATCGTGGTGGTGCAACACATTGGATGTCCAATGTCACGTAAGAAGATTACCTTGGAGATAAATCGTCAGTGACCTTTGACTAGGCTGAAGTTATGCATCATAATATTACTTGATGATGTTAATTTGTATGAGAGGAGCCAACGAAAGTCCACTGAGGACTTATTAACCCATCTGAGGTTGTTTATGGAGCATTGCTCGCTTATGAACCTGCGTGGAAGGGATCATGTGTAGTCCACTAATGACTGTTAACCTATCCAGGGATATTTACCGGAGTTAAAACTCGACGATGTTAACCCATATGGAAGATGTTAGATCGAATCCCCCTATGATTGATCGTGCTCTGATTAGCGATGTTAACCCATATGGAAGAGGTTAGATCGAATCCCCCTATGATTGGTCGTGCTCTGATTAAGATACAACTGAAGTTGTGTATTTCTCGGGTCGAGAGCATGAGATGACTCGTTGATGAGCCCTTATACTTTATAAAGATATTTTTATGTATAGGAAAGTAATTGAATAATACTTAAGATACATTGATTATGCATGAGTTGTGATGTAATAATATATGTGGATTACATGACTGGGGTATTACTGATAATACTTGCTAAGATTTTCTACATTCCAAGTCCGGGGCATAATTTTTCCATATGAATCCTTGAGCTTGAAGGTTCCAGGCTTTATCATGACAACCACGATATATGGGCCTTCCCACAGAGGTGATAGTTTGTTGCATTGGGGACCATGACCAGCGGCTTCAATACTATGCAGGATTAGGTCACAAACGGGGCTTGCCTCTCCGGTTGAAGTGGCGAGCAACTCTTTGGCGGTAGGAAGCAGCTCTTAGGTGGGCCACATCGTGTATTTCTGGGAGAAGATCCAACAGTTGTCGGAGCTTTTCTTCATTGCCTTCCAAGTCAAAAGTCTTGACTCGGGGGTTTGGAATTCCAATATCAACAGGAACGACAGCCTCGGTGCCGAAACACAGGTTATATGGAGTTTCTCCAGTTGGAGTACGCGTAGTTGTGTGATAAGCCCAAAGGACGTTGTGCAGCTCTTCTACCCATTGCCCCCCAGCCTTCTCAAGTCGAGTTTTCAATCCTTTGAGCACAGTACGATTCTTCACCTCTGTTTGTCCATTTGTTTGGGGGTGCGCCACAGCAGTGTGCACCAACTGAATGTGAAGATCCTTGCAGAATGATGTGAAAACCCTTCCAGTGAATTGAGTCCTATTATTAGTGATAATCTTCGCAGGAAGCCCAAAGCGACATATGATGTTTTTCCATACAAACTGTTTTGCATTTGCCTCAGTGATCTTCGCAAGCAGCTTTGCTTCTACCCATTTGGTAAAGTAGTCGACAGCTAGGATGATGAATTTTTGTTGCCCAGTAGCTATCGGAAATGACACAATAATATCTACCCTCCATTAAGCGAAAGGCCAAGGACTTAGAAAAGAAGTGAGTTCTACTGGCGTTGCATGTGTAAGATTGGAGTGTAGTTGACAATTTTTTGCATTTTTGCACAAACTCTAATGCATCTTGTTTGATCGTGGGCCAGCAGAAGCCTTTCCTCATTATTTTAAGAGCAAGTACCCTACCACCAAGATGCTCCCACATATTCCGGAATGAACTTCTCGTAGAGCATAATCAGCTTCAGATGGAGGAAGACACTTGAGATACAGACCTACAAATGCCTTCTCATACAGTTCATCCCCTATAAGGATGAAGTTGGCAGCCATGCTTCGGATGCGAATTGATGTAGTAGCATCATTTGGCAGTGTTCTGTCTTGGAGGAAAGAGATGATGGGATCCATCCAAGATGGCTCCCTTGGGTCATCTATAGACAATATCTCTCACGGGCCATTGATGCTAGGAAAATGTATCTCCTCAATATACCTTCTTTTATAAAGATCTCTAGTTGTTGAAGTCGCAAGCTTGGAGAGGGCACCAGCTCGGGTGTTATGCTCCCGAAGTATATGAATGAGCTGACATGTTTCAATTTGGGCGAGAAGTGTTTTTACCAGACTGAGATATTGCACTAGTTGTAAGTTATGAGCGACAAATTCTCCTTCTACTTGGGATGCAATAAGTTACGAATCATTGTATATAATCATATTTCGTACTTCGCAGTTGATGGAAAGCTTTAATCCAACGACAAACACTTCATATTTAACAATATAGTCAACAACATTATTGGTGGCTGGGAATTTCAAACGAAGTTCGTACTCCAAAATGTCTTTTTTTGGAGAGATGAGTAGTATTCGTGCACCTGCTCCGTCTACATATAGTGTCCACTGAGGTGACCGTGGAAGAGAAGAGGGTGGTTCATCAACGATAGGACACTGTACATTCTACAACAAAATCGGCCAACACCTGTGATTTGATGTTTGGTCGCGGTAAATATTGGATGTCAAATTCTCCCAATTATACTGATCATTTAACTAATCTTCTTGATGCTTTTGGTTTTTGTAGGATTGCCTTCAAAGGGAGTTGCGTGTAAACGCCAATAGTGTGAGCCTGGAAGTAAAGACGAAGTCTCTTTGTTGAGAATACCAGGGCTAGTGCAGTCTTGTCCGCCATCGGATAGTGACTTTCTGTATCAAAGAGAACTTTACTGACGTAATATATAGATTTCTCGATTGTGTTTTCTATTCTAACTAGGACAAAACTTATTGCATGAGGTGAAATAGTCAAATAGATAAATAACATTTCCCCTTGGATGGGTTTTGAGATAAGGGGCGGTGAAGCCAGATATGCCTTAAGTTGTTCGAAAGCAATCTGATAGTCATCTGTCCATTGCAAACCAGTGTTCAGTGCTTCTCTTAGTATCTTGAAGAACGGCAGAAACTTATCTCCAATACGAGCTAAGAACTGGGATAGGGCAGCTATACGACCATTTAATCGTTGCACCTCCTTGATGTTCCTAGGAGGCACCATCTCTTTCAACGCCTTGATTTTTTCTGGGTTTGCTTCAATCCCACGATGGGTAATCATAAATCCCAAAAGCTTCCCTGATGTGACCCCGAAAGCACATTTAGTCGGGTTAAGTCTTAAGTCATATTGACGAAGGAGTTGGAAACACTCCTCCAGATGAGAAATGTGTTGGGATACTCCCAAACTTTTTACTAACATGTCATCAACATAAACCTCCATTGTACGCCCGAGAAGGTTTTTGAAGACCTTATTCATGTGTCGTTGACAAGTTGCACCAGCATTTTTTAACCCGAATGACATAACCTGATAATAGTATAAGCCCTTATCTGTTTGAAAAGAGGTGGCCTCCTCGTCCATTGGGTTCATCTTTATTTGATTGTATCCTGGGTATGCATCCATAAAACTTAGCATCTAATGTCCAGACGTGGCATCAACGAGTTGATCTATGCACGGGAGGGGAAAACTATCCTTCGGGAAAGCTTTGTTGAGGTCTGTATAGTCGACACACATTCTCCATGAACCATTAGTTTTTTTCACCATGACGACATTGACCAACCATGCAGGATGGTTTACTTCCCGTATGAACTTTGCTTCGAGAAGCTTGTTGACTTCTTGTTCAATAGCTTGTAAGCGGTCTGGGGCAAAACTGTGCTTCTTCTGGATAACCGATTTAAAGGTCGGGTCTACCTTTAAAGAGTGCATGATTATTTCTGGATCAACTCCAGACATGTTGGTTGGAGTCCATGCAAAAATGTCTTGGTTCCTTCGGAGAAGATATACGTACTCTGACATTTTCTCATCGGAGAGTAGGGAACCAAGCTACACTGTTCTCGAGGGATGTTCGTCAGAGAGTGGGATTTGAACCAAGTCTTCCACGGGAGAAGCCCGTTGAGATACATCTTCATCTTGAAGGTCAAAGTTTTCAATGCTAAGTGGCATTGACGAATGTGGTGGAGCTTGTCGGAGGTAGCATGATTGTGTTATCTGTTGATCACCTCTCACGACGCCGATCCTTGTTGGGGTTGGAAACTTGATATTCAAGTGTGTTACAAAAATCACAACGCCAAAAATTGATTGTAGTGGTCTCCCAAAGATAGCATTATACGTCGATTCTGATTTGACAACGATGAACTGAACTTAGTGAGTTATCTGTCGAGGAAAATCTCTCAAGACAACTGGAAGATTTATTGTTCCCTCAACCCTCACTGGTCGATTATCAAAACCATATAATGGTTTGGATGCAGGTTGAAATATTTCCCTTGTTAATCCCAAACTGAGGAAAGTTGAATAGAACAAGACATCAACAAAGCTCCCATTATCGATCAGGATCCTCTTTACATTATAGCAGGGCTCGCCAATTACTGCGCTAATGACTAGAGGAACTTGGTGGGGGACTCAAACTCCTTCCAAATCGGAATCATCAAAAGTTATAGGCTCGAGACGCAATTTCTTCTGCATTGGTTTGTTAGGTACAGTGACAAGGACTTGATCAATTCATCGATGGGCCTATAACGATTGTTTGAATTTCTCCTACGACTGGGTGACCCCCATGTTGCTGTCTTGATGTATGTTGCCCCCAGTAGGAGCGTTATCGATACCAGCTGTTTTATTTTGTACAAATCTACCAAGATATCCCTGTTTAATTAATCTTTCAATCTCTTCCTTGAGCTACTTACATGCTTCGGTGGAATGACCACAACTTTGATGAAAATGACAATATTGTTCTTACCCTGAGTTAGGTTTTAGGGCGTGAGGCCACTTAACTGCTTGCTCATCTTTAATAGTCATTAAGATGCTAGATAGTCATTAAGACGTTAGCACGTGATGTGTTGAGCTGTGTATACTCTTTCTTAGGTTGATACTCATTTTGTTGGCATGCATGTCGAGGAAGGATGTCGCGATTCCTCTATTGTTCAAACTTCCTCCGTTGTGAATCTCCAGTGTTATTCTTGCGCTTTTCCCCAAATTTTTCGAACTGCTTTTTATGTGCGTTGATGGCCTCATCCGCAGTGATTTGGGCCTCAACACGGTGGACAAGTTCAGCATAAGAACGAACTGTCTCCCGCATTAGCAATGAGTAAAAAGGTCTTGGGCGGAGCCCCCCAAGGAAAACCCCCTTTAGTAACTCCGGATCCACCCCTGGAATTTGACGGGCTTCAGTAGAAAACCGGCGGAAGTAGTCCTTGAGAGAATCTCCTTTTTTTGACGAATTCCCGACAGATGTGATGAATCCTTTATGATCCTTCAATTTGCGATGAACTGCTCTACAAACAGTTTGGCAAGCTCATTAAAGGTGTTTACAGAGCCTCTTGGCAGAGAGTAGATGCAAGTTTGAGCTTGTCCTTTGAGAGTAGCCGGGAACACTTGACACAGAAGTGCATCAGAGGCACGCCGAATGTGCGTGATGGTTCGATAATGATCAATATGCTCATAAGGATTGGCTATCCCTTCATATGTATCGATGTTCGAAAGTTTGAAGCTTGTTGGGATGGGATGTTGAAGGATCACATCCACTAAGAGAGAAGATTCATGGATGTTACGACGAACGTAGAAGCGATCCTTTTTCTCGAGGGGGAACTCTTCTTGGACGAGGCTTCGCAGTTCGTTACGAATGACATTATCTGGAATGGCAGGAAGATGTGGCGATGTTGGGTGGGCTGCACGAGATGGATGAGTGGAACTTGTTGTATTTAGGAGTTCAGCATCACGAACTGACAGAGGATATGTTCCTTCTTGAGGAGGCGGGCTGGTACGAGTTCCTCCAAGTGGTATGTTTCTCATTCATCGCGAAGTTAATGGTAAACAAATTTCTTCCAATGGTGTTGGCAACAATTGCTGAGCCCCAAGTAGAAGTTGTAGGATCTCTAGTTGAGACTCCTCCATTCTACGCATTTGATCTTCTATTGAAGGACCCGAAACACCTACATTAGCGGGATATCGTCTTCCAGGGCGGGAAGATGAAGAAGCATGTCGCCCTTGGCTTCGTGACTGCTCCCTGGAATGATGGGTGTTGGAGCGAGGTGCTCCATTATTACGAACATTGTGTCTGGTGGCCATGTAGTAGACCGTGTAAGTACTTTAATTGTGGGATTGAAACCTTCCCACAGACGGCGCCAAATTGATGCGTAGAAAATTCGCGACGGTAGAGTAATGGATTATCGTCTTAGCGTTGCATGAGAATTCAACACACACTCAGATGAAAATGAATCAAGCTGTAATAACACCATAAGTTTTTACGCGGAGAACCCGTAAAAAGAGAAAATCCATGGGGCCTAGCCCAGTTGTAAAAATTCACTATCAGTTGACATTGATGATTACAGATGCCCCTTGTCCCACAGACGGGAAAGGGTTACTAAGGTTGCTAACTTTCCACGTTACAACGTCGACTGATGACGTCTAGTAAGCGGTGGTTGACGGAGGTAAGCGGTGGCTAACAACAGTCGATGACAGTCAACGGTAGTTGACAGAGGTCAGCGGTGATCAACAGCATTCAACGATGATCGATGGTGGTCGACAGAGGTCGAAGATTGTTGTCGACGGTCAGTGGTGGTCGACAGCGATCGACGATGGCGAGAATGATCTTGGACTTGAGCTCATTCTCAAAGCCTCAAGTTCTCTTTTAAGCTTCCTCCTTTCATGTGAGTGGAGATGCTCTATTTATAGTGTTTTGAGTGCAATTAATGCAGGAATATGAATCAATATGAACCATTTTGATCGGACGGCTCAGAGAGCTTCCCTTGCTCAGATGACATTTGATGGACATTTGAGTATCTTAACGATGTCAGAATTGAGCAATCTTGGGCTCGTTGGATTTGTCTTTTCGAGACGCTCGATCCGACTATAAACTCGCTAAATTCAACATCCGTTTGACCTTTCAAAT